CTTTTAAGAAATTAAGGCTCGCCAATGACGATGGGATTATTCCAGACAAGTGATTCATGGAGAGGTTCAAAACCTCTAAATTTCTTAGGTTAGATATTTGGTCTGGAATGACGCCGGAGAAGTTGTTGGAGTCAAGACCCAACGTGTGGAGAAGCTGCAATTGGCTGATATCAGTGGGTATATCACCAACAATGTTATTCGTAGATAAGTCTATCGTTGCTGGAATAAAATCCAATTTTTGCGATAGGAAATTTTGATTTGCGATTATTCTGAAGCAATTGGCACTGAAAACAGGAAGTTCAAATTCATAATTCTCTCCTTGAGATGCAATTGGTTCATGAAGCAACCTTGGTAGTCGACAAAGTTGTTGTGGAAATTTACCTGAAATTTGGTTGTGTGACAAGCTTATATAAAATAGTCTAGGAAGAGTCCCCAACCAACTTGGAATCGGCCCTGTAATTTGATTAAAACCCATAGCCAAGATCTCTAAATTCTTGAGCTTTGATAACCAAAAAGGTATTTGACCAGTGAGGTTAGAACGAACCAAACCCAAGACCCGAAGATTTTGGAATCCATCAAAATCAACCATGTCATCATCAGATGGCATTCCCTCACCCACAAAGGAACCGCTAAGACAAAGTGTGTGAAGACTTTTGCAACTCATCAATATCTTCATTGCCCCTGTGAGGTTGGTGAATCGATTGTAACCAAACGAGAGCAAGGACAAGAATTTTAATGAAAGTATCTCAGCTTGTATTTGTCCCTCTAGATGATTTTCAGCCAACCGAATGGCTTTTAGGAACCTACATGAGTAAAGGCTTACTGGAACTGTACCTGTGAAGTTATTGATCCTTAGGTCAAGTTTAGTAAGTTGACTCAGTCTTGAGAAATCAAGCACAGAGATATCTCCTTCCAAGTTGTTGTTTCCCAAACGCAGTTCTACAAGGTTTGTACAATTCATCAAAGATGGGGGCAACGAACCTTCTAAATTGTTGAAATCTAAGGTCACAAACTTCAATTTGGAGAGCTTCCCCAAATTGAGAGGAAGCTCGCCGCCAAAATCATTAAAGGAAAGGTCAAGGATGGCAAGGTTGGTGAGGTTGACAATTTTATCACTAATGGCTCCATGTAGTGAATTGAGAGCTAATGCAATTTCTTCAAGTTTGGTAGCATTATAGATATCTTCAGGAAGAAATCCTGAGAGGTTATTGTGATTGGCACGAAAAACTTGCAGTTCAGAACACTTCCCTAACCCAGGAGCAAGGTCGCCATTAAATAGATTGGAAGAAAAATCCAATAGCCTAAGGAAGGGAGAAGAATGTTGGAGACAAATAGAGGATGGGACATACCCTGTGAAGCTATTGTTGCTAACATTGAAACTAGTTAAGTTGCTTGCTTGTTGGAAGAATGAAGATGGAATTGCACCAATGAAGTGATTGCTGGACAAATCAACTGTCCGGATATTGCTAGATGGTAGAGAAAGTGGTAGCTCTCCAAAAAGACGGTTATAGCTCAAATCAAGGATCTCGAGTTGATTCAAAGAAAAGAAGAATTGAGTTTCAAGTGAAGCATATAGTGAATTGTGGGAAAGATTCAAGTGGGTTAGATGGGTGAGATTTGTAAGTGAAAAGGGAGAGATACCTCCTTTGAGCCCTTTGGAAGGTAATGGAGGAGAAGATAGAGTGGAGGCAAAGTACAGGAGGGAGCTGCGTTCAGTTTGTTTGCAGGCATGAATATTTGTAGATATAATGCAAGAGAATAAGAGGAAGAGAAGGAAGGGATGGGCCATTAGGTTATAAGCTTGCACTAGCATGTTGCTTTGTGTATGTGTCGTTGCTCACATGTATATTTTTATATATAAGAGCAACCTTGCTTGAAAAGGATGCAAATGTCACTGCAAATTGAGAAGTCGGCAAACAACCACCACAGAATGCAAATTCTTGATAATGAAACCCTTGGACCCACCAGGAGATGGACTTGACTGTGATATATGTGATGAACAGAATCCTTGTTGAATTCAAACTGGAATATGTTTTGATTATTTCCTTTTATTTTTAAGGCAGCTGATAACTGATACCAGCGCATCTTCCATGTTAATCACTCAAAGTCCAAGTTCAAAGTTGTTTTCTTGTTGATGATTCTTCTAAGATAATTCAAAATTGGAGGATAGTCATTCATTCCACGTTCTTAAAAATTCAAAATTCAAGAAGGCGACTACTATAATAACGTTTCTTGGTAGAGCAATAATGTTCAACCCTCTGATAGCAGTAAAATGAGACCAAAGATGGAGAGGGTGGATGTGGACCCCACCACCTTGTTCGATTTGTTTTGTCAATTTCTCCCACTTGCTATTTTGTTTGTTTTTTCTTTTGTTGCCCACTGCTCACTTTTGAAAAATTTGTTTACATTATCAAATTGTCCATCTCGGGAACAAAGGGCCATAATTAATTCATGTTTCTCGAAATATGATGAGCGGGGGAATTACTTTTCCCTCATTGAAGGACATTCCCAAAAGTTCAATATTCTTTTGCTCTTATGTTTTATGTCACTGATGATATCAAAATACAATTAATATAAATGAGGCAGTTTGTAGAGGACAAGCATAAATCTTTTTCATGTAAGAATCCTATCCTAGGATTCTGATGTTATTACTTTTTTTAAGTCTAAAGGCATAAAATTCCACAATCCATAGTGACCGTATGGTATACATAAGATGTTTTGTGCCTATCTTCTTGTACTGTCAAATCTGCCAAAAACCTGTTTTTAATTATATTGTAACTTTGAGAAGATTTTGGGCCCCAGTTTTTTTGTAAGTTCGTAACACTTTCTTTTGTGTTTTATAGGGATTGGGAGCTGATATATTCATGAATTGCATCTTTCTTTTTGTTTTTTTTTGTTTTTTTGTTTTGTATATACAAGCGTTATTGAGGAGGGGGTTTTCTCACATACACATACTGTCAAGGTGACATGAGAATTCGAAATTAAGACCACTGATTTACAAATCAAGGCCGTTTCCCATTAGACTAGACTCTATTGGCTTCATGAATTGTATTTTTTACTATATTATAAGGGACTGAAAATTTGACCAATTCCAATCCTAAACAATTTTCTCCATCTTCGCTCACCACTTGGTCAATCCCGGACATTAAGAAGGCAGTAGTCTTTGGTGATCAAACATGATTAGGAACATCACAATACTTTGTTACCTCCATGATTAGGAACATCACAATACTTTGTTACCTCCATGATTAGGAACATCACAATACTTTGTTACCTCCATGATTAGGAACATCACAATACTTTGTTACCTCCATGATTAGGAACATCACAATACTTTGTTACCTCCATGATTAGGAACATCACAATACTTTGTTACCTCCATGATTAGTAACAAACTAATGTTTTTGTTTCCAAACTCGGTAATTACAAATATTGTTTGAATACAATATCCATCGAATGTAAGTAATCAGTTATCAATAACCACTTGCATCTAATTTTTTGATTTTCTTATATATAGTTGCCAAATTGGCTTTTTCTACCGTCCCTATATTCGCATCATCGCATTCACAGATGAATGGCATTGGCTAATAGGATGTCGTGGAAACAAAGCAAGCAGCCAAAACCTTCCTTTTATGGATAGCCTCTGAGTCCAAGACTTCTTAGCGGCAACTTCTTTTCCTACTTGTTGCTCACGAAAAATACATCATCACATCCTGTGTCGTTTATGATGGAGAGGCCTCACCAATAATGTTAGGGAGTATCTATTCTATATGCACATTTATATGACTATACTGTAACAACATTCCCGCTCACTTAAGGACATAAAAATGAGGATATATGAGCTTCTTAAATTTTTAATAAAGGTTATTGAATTAATCCAATGATAAATGGTAATTGATACTTTAAACCCTCACTCATGATCTATATGTTACTAAAATAAACTTTAATTATTTTGACCGACAAAATAAAAATGAGCTTTTGTCTGTTTGGCAAAAATGTATCCATGTATATATTTTTTTTCTTTGTGAACTGGGGTTGGGAGGGCAATGCACCCCAGAAGCAACTACACAGAATTAGAAATACAAATCAAACAGGCTTTAGAGACCTGACCCAACTAAGAGATCCTCAAAATAGCCCCACAATATCATTTCCCAGGAAGAAAAAAAAGTTGAATCAGGAAGTACCCACCGGACTCTAGGCAATTCTAGAATAATTTGATATAAAAAAAATTTTAAAAAAAATAACCAAAAGCCCAAGCAATAATTTGATGCAGAAGTACCTTTGATTTTGTACGAAGTCTCTTTAGACACAAGTGCCCCAAATGCATAATAGCACCTAGTTGAAACTGAGTAGATCTTCCTCTCTGTAGTTGAGACATAAACAAATGCATCAATCAATTAATACAAGCAATGTGAACTACATTAGAGAGTGATCATATCTTTTATACCGTAGTTGGTTATGTAAATTTCAGGCAACATTAATAATTGATGTATATGATACCAATATTGCAAGTACTTGTTGAAACGTCGAAGGAGTTGGGAGTTTTTCTTTTCTGGAGAACTACCAACCATAATGCCAATCACCAAGATTTGTAATCCCATACTACGCAGCTAATATAGACGAACAATATAACTTTTAGTGAAACATTTTTCTGAAAAGAAAGGATAATATATTGCCAAAGACAGGAAGGATACAAGAAAGAAACGTGGCTAAGAGAGCCATAGGGCCTTAGGACCAACGACAAAGAACAATAGAAACTACCAAAAGCTAATATATAGAAAGCTGCGGAAAGCTAATCTACATAGACCTAAATATGCCTTAGTGAAATGCTATACGAAGAAATTAAGTCAATAATACCTTTGCAAAAAAGAATGCTCTAACATAAATCAACTTTCTAGCACAACAAAGATAATTTAAGAAAACAAAATAGGAGTCAGATTGATAGAAGGAACAGCCAAAAGTTCCACTATTCAACAGAAATCAACCTAACCCAAACATTACCCCCGATACAGAGTTAAGAAGTGATTATAAAATAAAAGTTATATTCTTTAAATTAAAAGATATTGTTTCCCACAAACACAGACATACATATGTATATTATCTGCTGGTAATTTCTAAAAAACAAAAAATTAGCAGAAAATATATAAACTTCATTTCATTTCCGTCCCATCAATTTCTCATAATCCAAACAAACATTTAACAAATAAAAATGATCAATTAAAAAAAATTAAACAATCGCCCTTACCTTCCGACGACCGCAGCTAGGGTCTTGATGTAGCTATCGATGATATCATCCCTGGTGATATCACCCTCAGGCGGATCCATGACGACCAGCCAGTGCTCAAAGTCACACCCATCGAGGAGGATCGTCTCCTTGGGAGGCCGGTTCGACCAGTTAGGGTTTGGATCTCTAAGCGACGACGTCGTCGAGTTGGTCGAGAAGCACCGGATGGACGCAGGAGAGAGCTTACCGGGGGAGGCGACGAATCCAGCGAGGGGACGAAGGCGGTGGAACAGAGAGAGAGAAGAGCGAGATTGGGCAGTGGATAGGGAAGCAGCGGAGGTGGCTGTGGATAGAGAGCGAGAGAGGAAGGAGCTCATGGCTAGGGTTTTGGGAAGAGATCGGGAGAAGAAATGGGTCGCCATGGTTGATCGCGAAGGGGTTTGGGGCTCTGAGATAAACCCTAGAGCGAGAGTAGGAGATAAGGGTGTTAGGGTTTTTGCGGAGGTTTTATAATAGCAGTGTACTGAGTGACTCTGGTTGTTAAATACCTCTTCATTTTCAGCAGATCAGACGGCATTTGATTTTCGAAATGTCTCTTCTTATCATTTTATTTCTAATTTAATCAATTACTAATAATAAAAAATATTTTATTTTGATGTAAATTTTTGTTCTTTACTAGCATATTGACTTGGCTCATTAAAGTTGAGAATGATGAAATGCAAAATGTTAAATTTAAATTTGATGGTTTATGTGGCAATTTGACACTTTGGAAAAAATTTAATTCCATCCGAAATGTCAAATATCATATTATTTTATCATATTTTTAAAAGCAAATGTGGCCTATAATGACTAAAAAATATTAAAATAATATTTTATATTAAGTTTTTTGATATGTTATTTTTGACATATCTCTTAAAGCCTTCAAATTTATGTAGAATTTGACTACTCGATTTGAACAATTTTAACCTTTAATTTTTTTCATTTCATTTCCATGTGGCAATTTGACGTATTAGTTGGAGATGCTCTAAGAGCATCTCCAAGGGAAATGTCAAATACCAAACATCAAATTTAAATTTGATGGCTGATGTGGCAATTTGACATCTTACACAGCTTTACACTCCACCCGATATGTCAAATTAAATTATTATTTTATTACATTTTAATGTTGATTTATTTTTAATTAAAAAGAAAAGAAAATAATAATAATAAAATATTCATTTGACATCTTGCTTTTGGGATGTCAAAAATAACATCTCAACCTCCAGCCTTCATTCCACATAAGCTTTGACACATCGGTTGGAGTGATGTGAGATGTTATTTCTAACCGTTAAATGTCTATGTGGCACTTTTGACACATCGGTTGGAGATGCTCTAAGGGAGATGTCAAATACCAAACATCAAATTTAAATTTGATGGCTGATGTGGCAATTTGACATCTTACACAGCTTTACACTCCACCCGATATGTCAAATTAAATTATTATTTTATTACATTTTAATGTTGATTTATTTTTAATTAAAAAGAAAAGAAAATAATAATAATAAAATATTCATTTGACATCTTGCTTTTGGGATGTCAAAAATAACATCTCAACCTCCAGCCTTCATTCCACATAAGCTTTGACACATCGGTTGGAGTGATGTGAGATGTTATTTCTAACCGTTAAATGTCTATGTGGCACTTTTGACACATCGGTTGGAGATGCTCTAAG